TTACAGTCAGGTTGCCTAGCAACAGGACATTGAGTCAGAGCCCTTGATCTTTTACCCTGTAAACATCCTACATAAACATCCTGTTAGCTTGCCCCACCCTATACAGATAACAGCTTCTTGCTCCCACTACCCTGCAGGAACTATATAAATCCTCCTGGAGAAAAATAAAGTTACACCTTGATCAGAATCTTGTCTTGGTGTATTTCCTTTGTGTCTCCTGTCCCTATCATTCTGTCCTTAGGGTGGTCGAGAACCTGTTGAAGCCCTGCTGGCCAGGGCAAAAAAGCTGAATGGCCAATAATGAGGGAGGAGGTATAGATGGGACTTCCAGGCAGGAAGAGTAAGTAGGAGGAGGAAGTTAGGCTTGAAAAAAGAAAGAAAAAGAAATGCCAGGGAGATGCCAGGGACCAGCCATCCAGACCAGAGGAAGTAGTGAAAGACCCCCGCTCCATTATGAGGACATGGGGCTTTGGGCCAATGAAATGCCCCCCCCCTATAACTTAGCCTAAAAAACGCCATTCTAAAGGAATCAGAAAAACAGGAGTTCACAGCCATAGCCAGCCACCCGGCCTTGACAGAGATAGCTATGGCCAGCCATCCAGCCTTAAAAGAGATAACTGTGGTCGGCAGCCTTGAAAAAAAAAAAGTTAAGTCAAATCAGGATATTTTATGGCTGGCCCCCTGGCCTTGAGGAATAAGCAGCTGGCCTGGACAAGGCCAAATCAGCCACATACATACGACCCCAAGTTCACCCTGGCCTTCTTTGAAACAACCAATAGGGACCCTGTAACTATGCTTCTTGCTTCTGTAACCGCGCCTCTGCCCCTGGGATCCCATAAAAAGTCCCCCTTGCCCTAGGAAGGCGCGCAAGTCCTCCAAGAGACTTCGCCCTAGGTACCTGGTCTAAATAAACCCTCTTGCTTTTGCATCTGATCTGTGGTTTCGGTGTGTTCCTTGGGTTTGGGGTCTCTCCCGGAGAAAGATCTCAGCCGCGGGTCTTTCAGTAGGAAAGCAGGACATATTGAATGAAGGAAAGATAAGAAGCCCAGAGGCAAAATGTAGAAGGGTAGAAACAGGTTAAGTTTAGTTGTTAAAGGCTAAGCATTCATAATTAAAAGTGTCTGTGTCTTTATTCAAAAGCTGGTTGGCAGCACAAAGAAGACTCCAACTACAAATGTGCAGTGGGTAGCCATTCCAGCTTGGATCTGTCTCAATGGGGGTTGGAACTTCCAGATCCAAGCTGGAATGGCTACCCACAACACAAATGGCACCTAACATGTGACCTGAATTTTCACATTGGGCCTAAGAAAGCTGAAAACAAACCAACCAACAAAGGCTATGGCTCCTTTAAGAGGCGCTGCAGTGCAGCAGAGCACTTGAGCAGCTGGCACACTAAATAGAAAGAGCGAGCTAAGTCAAAACACCTGCCACAGTGTGGACACCAACTTCCTAGAGCTGGGGTGGTTAAAGGCAGCTCTTGGCCAGGCCCATGGGCTTAAGGCCTGGCTCTTAAGTCCTCAAGGAGGGGGTGGAAGGCCTACCTGCGTCTAAGCATCTTAATGTTTGGTTCACATGGTCAGAGAATGCTACAGGTGCATAGTAAACCAGGTCCAGACCAAAAATACCTTTCAACAGGTTACAGTGTGCATAGGTGCTTAAGGAAGAAAATAAAATGGGTATAGGTAGCTATAGAAAAAAAGTAGTTTAAAGATAATTAAGTAAAGTCTTTAAAGAAAGAGTAAGTAATATAAAAAGAATAAGCTATATAAAGATGGGAAATACACAGGGCATCTGGATCCTGTATCTTGCTTTGTTGACTTTGAATTTTTTGAATGCTGATGAGCAAATGGCAGCAGTTGAGAGACATGGGATTGTAAAAGGAACTGCTGAATTAAACTAGGCAAGATACTTTAGGGATGTCTTAACTTTAAAATTGAATTCAAGGCTGGGCAAGGTAATCCAGCATGAGGAACAGGTTCCCCAAAGCCAGCTAAGCATGCCAGAGACAGGTCATGATCTCACTGCTAGGAGCCTCACAGCCAGACCAAACTACACAATGCAGAAGGCCTAGGCCCATGCAGGCCCCCTAACTGTTGGGCTAGAGTCCATGGGAGCCCATGAGCTTAGGTCAGCTGTCTCTGTGGGTTTCCCCATCATGGCCTTGACCCCCCGCCCCAGCTCATACAATCCCTCCGCCTTTCTTTGGCAGGACTCCCAGAGCTTGGCCCTGTGCTTGACTGCGGATCTCTGCATCTGCTCCCATCAGTTACTGGACAAAGGCTCTCTGATGACAATTAAGGTAGTCACCAATCTGATGATAGAAGATAGCCAATTCAGGCACCCTCTCCACTATTGCTATGAGTCTTAGGTGGGGTCACCTATTGATGTAACCAACCGTCTTATTAAATAAGAAACACAGAAACAATGTAAAAGAGAAAGCCGAGAGGTCAGAGCTCAGAGCTAAAATCTCACCCTTCTGCCTGCGGTGTCCCAGCTTCCCGAAAGAGACCTATTTCCTGTCTGTTCGTCTATTTATAGTATTTTGTTCTGCCTTCTCATTGGTTGTAAACCCAAACACATGACTGCCTCGTCACTGTCTGAATGTACAGCCCCCTAGGTCTTAAAGGCATATGTCTCCAATGCTGGCTGTATCCCTGAACACACAGAGATCTATGGGATTAAAGGCGTGTGCCACCACCGCCACACTCTTGCTATGGCTCTAATAGCTCTGACCCCCGGGCAACTTTATTTATTAACATACAATCAAAATCACATTTCAGTACAATTAGATTACCACCACAGTCACCTGGTGGATTCCTAGGGGTTTCCCTCTTGCCAAGTTTCTTCCTAGCCTCAAAATGCCCCCCATGGTCCATCAAGATACCTCTTTCATTACTCTCCTTCTCTGTCCATTCCCCCATGCCCCTTCCCCCCACCCCAAGTTTACTCAGGAGATCTCTTCTATTTCTCCTTCCCCGGGAAATCCATGCATCTTTCTTTGGGCCTTCCTTGTTATCTAGACTTTCTGGGGCTGTGGATTGTAGGTTGCTTATCCTACACTTTACTCCTAGTATCCACTTATGACTGAGTACATACCATGTTTGTCTTTCTGGGTCTGGGTTACCTTACTCAGAATGACTTTTTTTCCTAGTTCCATTCATTTGCCTGCAGATTTCATGATGTCATTGTTTATTACAACTGAGTAATACTCCATTGTGTAAATGTAACACATTTTCCTTGCCATTCTTCTGTTGAGGGGATCTAGGTTGTTTCCAGGTTCTATCTATTAAGAATAATGCTGCTATGAACATGGTTGAACAAATGTCCTTGTGGTATGATTGAGCATTCTTTGGTATATGCCCAAGATTAGTATAGTGGGGTCTTGAGGTAGATTGATTCCCAATTTTCTGAAAAACCACCATACCAATTTCCAAAGTGGCTGTACAAGTTTGCATTCCCACCAGTAGTGGAGGAGTGTTCTCCTTACTCCACATCCTCTCCAGCACTGGTCCTGCTTCAACTTGATAGGCCATGCTTTATTCAAACCCATGGGAGGCCTGCCCCTTTCTGAATGGAGATGATGGAGGAGGAGTAGAGGGGAGGTGGAGGGAGGGAACAGGAGGAGAGGAGGGAGGGTAAACTGTGGTCGGTATGTAAGATAAATAAAATTTTTTTAATTAATTAAAAAAGAGAATTAAAAAATTTGATGCTCAAAATTATAATTATGAAAGATTAAGTGGGTATTTGAGCTGGGGTTCTATGGAGAATTATTTCTTTGTTTATTTGTTTGTTTGTTTTTTCGAGACAGGGTTTCTCTCTGTAGCTTTGCACCTTTCCTGGAACTCACTCTGTGGTCCAGGCTGGCCTCGAACTCACAGAGATCCGCCTGCCTCTGCCTCCCTAGTTCTAGGATTAAAGTCATGCGCCACCATCACCTGGCTGAGAATTATTTCATTTGTGCTAACTTAAATGCATGCAGTTTATTGTGACTATAACTAACATGGTTGGCATCCTAAAAAGTAGAAATAGGGATTGAAACACCACTTCATGTGAATCTTAAATCTTTTTTAAACCGGTGTCAATTGCCAAGCCTTACTTAAAGAAAGGTCAAGAATAAAAGAATGCTAATTAAAAAAAAAAACTTTCCACAGGAAATGAAAGGCAGTAGAGTCCTTCAAAATTAACAAAGACCAGATTTGATTGGGGGAGATTCCCTGAAAAAAAAAGAAATAAACCTAGAAAAACTACAAGACAGGTAACATATATGCTGATCCCTTGACATGGGAACACTCTGAGACTGGATGAGATATCATAAATCTTGTTGGTTACAGAGTCCTCATGAATTACTATTACATACCATCGTTTCATATGGCATAGATAGAGGTTTCATTATATAGTCCAAACACACTTATAAAGTTGACACATGTCTTTTACCTGCTTAAGCATAAAAGAAAAATCATCTTTGGCTGGCTTGTATACACAGTCCACACTTGTGTTAATGCATACATGTATGTTAACCTTTGAATGTTTGTGTGTTTTCAGAGGAAGAGGAC